TCACCCGGGACCCTGGCAATGTGCATCTGTGGCCCCCACCACGGAGATACCAGCAGCCCCAAGAGCCACAGGGTTTCCAAAGCTCCAGGAGACGCAAGCACGTCTGCGGGCTAAGCACTGAGCTTTACCACGAGCTGCCGAGAGGAGGCCCTTCCCGCTGAGCCCCTCCCTGTCTAGACCCCTTCCGCCAGCGCACCTTCCTTTCCTCTGGTGGTCCTGTGCCTCCAGGGTCTCGTCCCTTCCGGCACACGGGGCCTGTGTGACGTGTAGGACAAGTGGGACTCTGATAAGCAGTGTCCCTGACACCGCTGTGTAGTCCTTACCTGGTTTCCGAGGCAGTAGCTTTCCCGTCCGGCACCCTCCGTGTCTGCGGGCTCCACTGTCACTGTCGTCTTCTGGGGAGGGAGCAGGACAGGTCAGCAGGACGGCCGTAGCCTGCTTTTGCCCTGGGGGTAGGGACGGCATGCTGGGAAGTGGGGCTGCCCCAGCCTCGGGTCAGGTGACGACTCCTGGTGGCTGGACTCCTGGTGGCTAGAGCCATAGCCTTGCTTCTGCGGCCTGTTGGAGAAGCCCAGCTCCTGGTAGACTGCCGGCAGAAAGAAGGAAGTGTCCTCACCCCGCTGGTGCCCTCCCCCTCGGCTCTCGGGGACCGGCCGTGTGCTTGCTCCTCAGGTGCTCCTAAGTTGGCTCTTACACGTTTTTGGTGACTTACTGAAATCACTTTTTTTTCTTTGTTTCTTTAAAAAATCGCCCTACTTGCCGTCAGCACGAATCTGAGATTCTTCCGTTCCCAAATCCAGAGAGGAACTTCGTCCTTCCGGAAGAAATCATTCACGAAGTCCGAGAAGGTGAGACTGGGGCGGGTCAGGTTCGGGAATTAAGGAGGACGTGGGCCGAGGGCGGTGGCGTCGGGCGAAGGTCACGAGCCTCGGGGAGGAGTGAGGGCTGCTGGCGGGGTGCTTCTTGGCCCAGGTGGACTGGGAGGTCTGGGGAGTCTTGGGGGCTGGAGGGAACTTGTTCAAGAACAATGGGCTCTCTTTAAAAGCGGCCTGGCGGCAGCTGAGAAGCACACACACAGCCGTCCCCGGCCTGAGCCGTCCGCAGCGCTGGGCAGGGCCGCGTCTCCCACCGTTTTGGTAAACGTCAGCTGTCGCCCCACAGGAAAAGTGGTCATTGAAGAAGAGATGAAGGAGGAAATGAAGGAAGACGTGGACCCCCACAACGGGGCGGACGATGGTGAGTGGGGAGCGCCCCCCGACCCCGCCCTGGGCCCCAGGAGCAAGCCGGGCGGCTGCGCACCCCCGGCCCGCGCGTTGAGTCCGCCTGGGGCCGGAGCTGCGCCGTCTGGCTCCACCTGCCTGGGCGCGACCTGCTGGGCAAACCTGGCCTGGTGCACGGCCCACACTGCGAGCGAGCCCCGCGGCGGCCCGGGGCACTGGCACCCGGGCCGCGGCACGTGAAGCGCGTGGTGCAGGGGGTGCGGGTGCAGGGGACACACTCCACGCGGCAGGGACGGCGGGTCCTCAGGAGGACCCAGCCGCCCGCGGGCCACACGGCAGCCCAGCTCGGAGCGTCGTGTGTGTAGATGCGGCTTTTTATCACTGAGCGGGAAGATGAAGTAAAATTCGGGATATTCTGTTTTCAGCCAAATGATTTTGTCTCCCAGTTTTTTCGTCTTCAGGAAGCTTGGGCAAAGCAACGGAAAAGGCCAGCAAAGACAAGAACCCCTCGGACTTGGGCTCCAAGGAGGGGGTGGACAAGCGGAAGCGCAGCCGCGTCACCGACAAAGTCCTGACGGCAAACAGCAACCCCTCCAGCCCCAGCGCCGCCAAGCGGCGCCGAACGTAGACGCCGCTCAGCCAGGGCACAGGGCAGGGGGACGGCGGCCACCGGGCCGGGCGCGCCGCCCCCCCCTCGCCCCGCCCGCCGCCCCTGTGGCTCCCACAGGGCCCGACCGCGACCACCTCCCGCAGGGGCGGAGAGCTGGGAGGCGGGCGTCCTCCTCGTCCTCCCGTGACGCCGGGTCAGCTCCGGCCGTGCTAGTTCTCCGGCCGGGCCGCGGTCCAGGCCCCGCGGAGCAGGGCGAGGGGCACGGGCAAGGAGACCTGGGCCAGCGAGCAGGAAGTCCGTTCTTGCTGTGTCCTTGAGGAGCGCTGGTCTTGCCGGGCTGCTCAGTGCTGCCCGTTGTCCGTCTGTGCGTCTGTCGGCCGTTCTTCCTAACCGGCTGCCCCGTCGGGAGAGAGACTCAGGCCACCCCGTGGCGGACCGTCGCCCCACCTGAGAAACTGAGAACTGGACGTTTTGCCTCATTCGCTTGTACTGTAACGATGTATATAATTTGGCGGTATTTCACTATTTAATTTTTAAGAAGCCTATTTTACTAGTGTTTTATATGAAAACAACACTGCAGAAGTGAAACCTGTGTTGTATTTTTCCTGAGATGTTTTGTGTTAAGGTCATGACTGCTGAGACACTTTTCGCTCAGTTTTTATATGCCAGAAACAGAGGATTTGTAGCGGCTATTTTTGTATCCTCCGGTAACTTGCAAACAGACCAAATGAGTGAGTGGAGGGAAGGGGCGCCGGGGCCCAGGGTTGCCTGAAATACTTTCGTTTGAGTGCGGAATATTAAAGCACAAAAGCAGCAGCCTGGAGTCGTGTGATTTTGATACCAAAGTAAGTTCCCTTTTCTTACGGTAGGAAGTGTTTATTTTTCCAAGGGTTATAACCTCAGCCTACACTCGGTGCGCTTCGTAGCATTCCCTCGATACAATGTATTGACGACCGACAGGAAGTCGGGCCAGAGTGGAAATGTGGTCGAGTGTGACAAGTCCTTCAGATACGAAATGCCAGGACAGCGGACAAGGCAGCGCCGGTGGCTGGCTGAGCCCGGACGTCCGGGAGCTCATCCTCTGGCAACGCGAGTCTCGGGGCCCAGTCTGCTCTCCGCACAGGAGGGTCCGGGCAGAGCAAGAAGGGTGCGCCCTCAGTCCCGGCTGACCTCCGCGCCCCGGGTCCTTCATCTGGACAAGTCACCAGGAAGCTGAATCCCCCCACCGTCTCGGAGCAGGAGGCCGGGCCTCGGCCCACCAGGCGAGGGCAGGAACCCGGTGCCCCACGCCCCATGCAGGCTGGCCTGCTCTACCCGGCCCGCCGTCTCTCGCGGGGCCTGGAGCGCATCGCCGGCAGCCCTCCTTCAAGGCCCACTCTGTACCGGCCCGGCTTCTGTCGCTGGGACCCTGCTGCCCGAGAGGAGCCTGATCCCTGGGGAGTCAGAACCGGCAGAGCCGTGGGGCAAACGTTGTCTATGAAGACGGGGGTCTTTCCCTTAACAGACGTAGACCCTGGTCTGGAGCAGGATCTTCAGGGACCTCAGAACATGCTGGAAAAGCCTAGTCAATAAGTCAAACCTGTTTCCTAATGACTGAACATTCGCTGCCCTTCCAGGAGATGTGGGGGGAGGGGCGCGCAAGGCCGCCCAGCAAGGTAGATGGCCCCCCACCCCAGGTGCCGGTTTGGGGCCACTCCCCACGCCCTTAGGCCTGCGGAGGCCGGAGTAGTCCTCAGCCGGAGTGAGGCTCACACAGGGGGTCCGGTTCGTGTGCTGCGTGTGGCCTGTGCAGGTCAAGTTCACATCCCCGCCCCTGCCCTCTCCTGGCCTAGGGGTCCACTCTGTGACATGGGGTACAGCTGTGCCCCCACCACGTAGGTAGACGGAGTGTGACAGAGGAGAGGCGCTGGGGAGAAACCAGTGTGAGCGGCTGCAGGACCCTGGGAGACACAGGCGCCACAGACCTGAGACCAGAAACCTCCGGGAGGTGCTTCGTGCCTCGGACGCCGGGCCGGGTCGTCGACAACGGGACGGCGCAGCCTCCCTGGGCGGGGACAGGTGGGTGCGGCCTCAGCCCTCCCTGCCCTGGCCCAGCCCAGGGCCCCCAGGGCTGATGCAGGAGGAGAGTGTGCTCCCAAGTGCCTACCGATAGGGCAGCAACGGGACGCCGCGGGGCTCCCTCGGGGCGGGGCGGGGCGGGGCGGGAGGGCGTGGGGCTTTGGCCAAACAACGAGGCTGCAACTGGTTTCGCCTGAGGAAAACGTTAAGGCAGGTCTAACCTGAACCTGCCCCTGCCCAGCTCCTGCAAGACTCCTCCACCAGGGGCAGGGCCACCCTGGGGCGCGCCACCTACTGCCGGTGCTCGGAGGAGGAACCGGAGCGAGCGCGCCGCCGTCGCTCCTCTGGGCCCCGCCCCGGCCCCCCTGGCCCGCCCCCCAGTCCTGCCCCCCACCCCTGCTCAGCCCCGCCCCAGCCTGGGCGGCCAGCTGTCCAGAGCCCTGAGCCCACAGCGGGCGTCCCCAGGCTGCAGAGGGGAGGAAACAGCACAAGACTTCTTCTGCAGCAGAAATCTGGGCTCCCGGGTTAACGCGCCCTGCGGAGCCCCAGGCAAACTGCACAAAAGCAGCCGGAGGTGCGGTTCGGGGTGACTCTTCCTTGTCGAGCGGAAGTCGGGCAGCGTCTGGGAGGGTCCGTCGTCCCGGCCCTGGTGGGAGGCAGCGGCGGGGAGGCTTGCCGCTCGGCCCGTGGAAAGGCACAGCCTCCCCACCGCAGTGCCCCTCAGAGCAGCCAAACCCCTGCATTCCGCCCCGGACACGCGGACACCTGCGTCAGGGCCTCCCGGTGTCATCTGCCCGGTGCCCTGGCCGGGGCCTCGCGGGGCCACCTGCAAGTCAGGCAAGCGGGAGGTGAGGCCCAGGGGGTGGGGGAGGCAATCCGCCCCCGCGGCCCCCGCCAGAGGCGCGGCGGCTGCCCGCTGCCCAGGAAACCTAGCCTAGCCTGCCCACCGGTGGCACACCTTTTACAGAAATGCCCAGATATCCGTTCCGGGGGGG